TGGTTTGCTTAGAAAGATGACAATTTACATAGGGAAAACAGCACATTTGGCCAGGACAACAAAACAGCCCTCTGAGGCTGTCAGGAAAGCCGACTACAAACATGCCAGTAAGGAGTCTGTGTGTGTGTGTGTGTGTGTGTGTGTGTGTGTGTGCGCATTTAAAAGAATTCTGTAAAACAGCATAAGACAAATACATGATCCAAAGTAGTACATTTCCCTGTTTTGGGGGATTCAGGAGAAACTTTGTGCAGGATTTAGGGATTGCAGAGTTCTCGACCATAGAAGAAATCTCAAATCCTAGCCAGAGGGAGTAGGGGTAGGAGGAACTTTGTGGGTGTGGAAATAGCAGGGATAGAGAAATTGAGATAGAATAGTACATGCAGAAATGCATCAAAGACATTCAAACATGCATGCAGTGGTGGACGAAGTAAGGTCAAGATGGCCAAGCTCTTGGGTGCAACTTGCTGAGAGTAATTGCCATGGCAACTGGCTCCTGCATTTTTCAATACTTAGCAATAATGAATACGAAAGGGTAATAATCCAAATGCTATTGATTAATCAGAACCAACTGGTCTGACTTTGCTGATCATAGTCAAAACAATGCCCCCAGATAATAATTCTTCTAAAGTTTTAGTGAGATTTCAAAAGCTCAAGATGAAAGCTTTTTGTCTTCATTGAGACATGGAAAAAGTATTAGGTAAGCCAAGCACTGAGAAGGCTATTAGTTTATTATTGAAGTGACATTTCTTCACACTGAAGACAAAGGACTTGGAAACTATCCTTTAGATAGCAACAAAAATCTTAAAGAACCAAATTTTTTTTTTTTTTTTTTTTTTACTTTTTCACTCTGAATCTTGATTTCAGTGATATCAGGTGAGATATAAAGCATTTTTTTAACGCTTATGAAACAGTCATTCCATCCATTACCAAAGATTTCTTCTGTTGACAATATTTCCTGGAAATACAATTAGGCAGGTAGGAAATTATCAAAAATACTTGCCATTAGAAAAATTATCTTAATTTTTGTTAACCCCTGACCTCTTCTTATAAATCAGTAGGTTTAAGAGGCAGGCATTTTTATCAGTGCTGTTTTTGATTGAGGGTACTGGCCTTTAACAATATCCATTTAAAATGTTCAAATAGTTTCCAAATGTACATATTACAAAATATTATTGTTTCAATATTGGAGGTCACATTTAACATACCATACATGATTTATCTGTATATTTACAGAGGTTTAAAGCACACAAAATTGTGCAGATAACATATTGAAGTCTAAACTTTAACATATACTCAGTTGCATACATAGCAACAAGATACAATAAGTTCTGAACAAATAACAACCAATAATCAGCCAGATTATTATATACACATTAGGCAGGAAGCAATGGGACTCTGCCTAATAGAACGTTACTTAAATTACTTTTTCTATAAAACATCTCTCCCCCACCATACACACACACACACACACACACACACACACACACTTTTTTTTTTCCGTCACAAACATCAAAATAATGCTTGTGATCACATACCTGGAATATCCTCAAATACATCTGGTTTGTCACAAGAAAAGAGACAGCACAAAAAACTCAGAGTGACTTATTAACATTTTGCCAGACTTGGCTTTTGTAAATCAGTTACTGGATGGTGGTTACTGAGAAAGTATATTCAGACTTCTATGTCATGGATGGAAGGAAGAGGAGCAAAGGGTATTAACTAATAGCTTTATAACATTTGCCACAAGGTTAAATATTGGCTTTTGCTAAAATAAAAAGAAAAGTATATATTTGGAGGGGAAAGACCTAGAATAATATATATATATATATATT